AAAAAAAAAATCTTTAATTATAGGGGAGAGATGGTGAGTTGAACCAGTTTTTACCTATGGTGTGTTAAAAGCGAGCACATGACAGTAATGGTCCAACTTAAATATGTACATAAATTTCAGGATGTGGTGCATCCTTGGGAATAATTAATTTGGCTCTAAAATAAACTGCTTTCAAAATATGGCTTTCCAAAAAAAAAGTGGTTTCTTGGCTCAACTTGCCTCCAGTGAGGGGTAAATTGAGCCTAGGGAGAAGGTAAGTTGAGCCACATGGAATTAAACTGTGCCACTGATTATACTGAAGTAAAACTCAATATTTCCACCTCATGCTGTATCAAAGGAAGAGAAATTCAATAAAAATGACTTAAAATCTATGTGTGAGCCTTGTGATGGACTGGCCCTAAAAAGGACATAGGCTGGCATATAGGTTTGGATAATGGAATGGATGGATGGATGGATAACTTAAAAGTTTTACCGTATTTAAAGATACAGTTCACAAGTCTGAAGGCTTTTTTTAATTTATTAAAAAATTTCAGAACAAAAAGTTCAATTTGAAGATTAAAAAAACCGGACCTTACAGAAATGGGATAATAGTACAAATGTTGCAGGGAAATACAATTTCATAAAAACTTCAGTGGCCAATTTTCATAAACAGTGCCTATTTAAAATTTACAGAACAAAATCAAGTTCAAAACAAAGAACAAAATCAAATCATGTTTGGTGTAAAATTAATTAAATATAATGTATAATTACAGTAAAATAATACTTAATCGTAAGAAGGGGTGAGCCACTGGCTCAACTTACCCCAGGACCTTTGACTCAAATTAACCCACCTATCATTTTAACAAACTTATATCATCCAGCAGTTTAGAGCTAACCATGCTAACATTATAGCCTCATAACCTCCTAAAGCACAAACACGTGATTTTTCTTTTTTCAGATTTGTAATTGTTCAGACACAAGAAGCACGAGTCCTTGAAAATACAAACATCACTTTAAAAAGCAAAAAACAAAATCTCTTTCCATTACAGGGTGAGTAAAATGCTTAAATATTCAAATATGTGTGGTCATATCACCAATTTTGTTCAAAGTTTCTAGAAACAAGGGGTCGCTCAACTTCCCCTCAGGCTCAAATCACCCCGCTCTCCCCTATATGCCACAAGTCGAGATGAAACAGTATGATGCAGTATTACAGTACGCTGTAGATTTTAAATACATTTTCTCATTCATGATATTGCATGAATGTACCAAGTAAAGGAGTTACATTTCCATTTTCTATTTTTGTTCAATTATGAGATATTCAAAAAATAACCTTTCTTCAGCTCAAACAGTAGAGCATCGCGCTAGTAACACTAAGGTCATGGGTTCGATTCACAGGGAAAGGTTGCTTGTAAGTTGCTTTGGATAAAAGCATCTGCTAAATGTATCAGTGTAAAAATCACAAGATTCTTATTTAAAGAAATCAAAATGAACATTTCTGGCATTTAGTAAAAGTATGTTAGCCTTATTGTAATCTAGAAGATTTTCTGCAATCACCTACTCTCTAGAATCAGAAACACAGCTTACATAGCCTAATAAAAAGACACTAAAGCTGCATCTGAAATCAGTCCCTTTTCCATTTGGTGAATGGCACATAGTAATAGTGAGCATATCGAACAGTATAAATATGCTTTCCATTTGGGAAAATGAAGCCCCTTGACATTATAAACAGCACTGAAGTAGATCACAACTGCTATGCACCAACATAAATTTTGATTTCGAAATACACATCATCACTAATTAGCCTACTCAAATTGTCACTGTTTTGTAGCAAGTTTCAAATGAAATCTAAATGTGGGAACTATTACACTTATTGGGGCATTTGTATTTCTAAAGGGGGCCTCGAAATCGCATTCCAAAGGGAGGTCACCCTTGGTTGAAATTGCATTCTCGCGGTGCCGACCCTGCTGGAAAAAAGAAAAAGCTAAACCTAGCCCAGGGGTAGGCAAGTT